CGTTGCTGCGACGAAAATGGCCATGGGTACACCGACTACGTCCAATCTGATGGAAGAACACGCTACTGTAGACCGTAGAAGAAGAATTGGAAGTCTCGCGCGGGACACGGTTACGCACGATGCGGTGTCTGCGCAGCGTGCACGAAGAAAAGTTTTCGCGAACTAGGCAAAAAGTTTGTTTCCAGAGTTATTCTCGAACGAGCGTGTTTCCCGTCGAGTAAACGAAATATTCGAAAGAATTCGAGAAATTTCCTCGAAACGTTCCTCCCGCTTCGGACAATATTGCCCCACCGAACGGTGGCCCGCGCCGAATTAAACTGGAAAGCGCGCCCGGAATTTCACCGCTCCGCCGGAAATTCAATAATTCTTCTGTCGAGTGCCATCCTCCCGTCTCTTCCTGGCCCGCACGGCCTTCTATGCCCACAACCCTGGAATCGGGATATCTAAATCTTCGTATCTCCAAGGTATTTCCCTCGAAATCCATGAGATCGCGTTCTTTCAGCGCCCACTGTTTGCCCCTTTGTCTCGACCCAGTCACGGTGATTTTTAATTGCTGCCTAGGGTGGCAGCAACCAACCGCGATTTCGGAATCAAACACGAATTCCCTTATTTACCGTAACGCGTTCCCTTTCCCCATCCTGATCATCCCCTTGTTCGTCGCAACTCCCTTTGAAGCTTTCGCGTTCGAGACACCGCGTGTATGCGTCCTCGATCCCTCGAAGCGATAGCGGAGTTTCAGCGACCGTAAATCATCAAAGTTTCGCTCGAGAATGCCCTGATACGCGTGTAAACCGCCTTGGCCTGTCTCTATGGCGAACGCGACTCGTAATGAGATCGTAAAACGAGAGCGAAATAAGGAGACAACCCCTTCGTAGAAACGTACTCGTGTACAAACGATACTCTCTTTCTGGTTCAAAGGGTGGGTTACATCGACGTAACTACCTTGTACTCTAACCAGGGTACCTCGGCCCCATATACGAACGAGCTCTACCTACGCGACACGAAGGACTATATCGTATATTTAACGTTCGAAATTAAAGAGAAAAACTGGAACTTATGAAAATAGTCTTCAAAATAGCCGACGTAAATTTGGAAATTTCCAATGTTCGAACGACCGGTATTGCTAAACTCGCGGGCCAGACAGAACTCCTGGTGACGCCAGTGGATGGGCGGGTATATCATAGAAAAACGAATTCGAAAGAGCTCTTTCTCTATTCGGAAACGGCTGCGGAGCAGTGCCTTCGACGTAATTTATTTTTGGTTAAAGCGCGAGTAACGCGCTCAGGGGGACAAACCCTTGGGCTCGTCGCACTTCAGTGAAAGTGGGATTTATAGGTCGCGTTGCGGCGCCAAAATGTCTCTATATGCGTGTCGTAACGCGAGGGTGATCGAGGAAGCAGCAGTTTGGATAAAAAAAGAATCACGAGCGGCATAAATTCGAATTGCTTTCCTGGAAAAATGTCGTCCGAAATATCAACGAGTAGGGGGTTCGCTACTACCACCGTCGCTCGAGCGTTTCAACAACCATTCCCTCCACCGCTTCCTTCCGTTCAACCTCTTTCCTCTACTACAACCAGTCGTTCAGAATTTATAATTCGAGGTTGTTCCACGTTGAAAAAGAAATATTTCTTTCTTCGGGGCACCCTTTACGCCGTTCGACCGTAAGGTTCGAACTCTTCGTTTTAACTCGCCACGGTAAATGCATCGAGGGCGATGGACTCGGATCATTCGATCCATCGCGTCTTTGTCTAACCAGATATAAGCCTGTCGGATACGAATGATCGATTTTTATGAAAAGTCCTACGCGATTCGACAACTTACGAAAGTAATAGCGAACGATACGCGTATAGTACATCGATTCGAAATTTAACGCTCGATGTCACGAACTTTAATCGAAGACTCGCTCGTTTTAGATTATCGAATCTCATCTAATAATTTTATACGCGTACAAGCGATAACGTAATAATTCGACGGTTCAACGATGAAAAAAAAAGGAAGAAAAATGTATTTCCTAACGATGCGATGCAAGAATGCGCGTGCAGAGGGTATTTTTTCAACGATATTCCCGGCTCGGTTTGGTCCGTTTAAATGCATCGTGGTGGCGTGATTCCATGCAGTTGGCCTTGGAGGCTGCTAGAGCGTCAAGCTCCTCTCTTCGCTCGCTGGCCCTGAAGAGGTGGCCACGGTCAAGGCTACGAGCACCCTCCTCTTTCTTCGTCGCGTTCTTTCTTTGCTTCTCCTCTTCGCCTACTCGCTCTTCCTTCTTCGCCGGCATTCACCGCTTTATCCTCGCGACGAACACACTGCCGATGCTTTAACATCGCTCTATACTCTACACTCTACACCACGGACACGCGAGAACGATCGTACAGAGAGGAAGAGCCCTACCTAAACTCGGTCCCGATGCATTTTTCTCAACGAACACCGGCCACGATTGCCAAACGAAAACCTCTCTTCGGTATCGTTTTTCTCTCCAGCGAACCAACGATCCATGAATTTCGTGTTGCTTCGTGTCGTTTCGTGCCGTCCCAAACATTCTACGCCGTCATGAGTTTCTTCAAAAATTACAGACGTTTAAACGCGATCCGTATTCTTCTCTTAGACCGTTCGAAAAATTTCGGTATATTCAATATTTCCAACCTTGTTAACTTCTCAATGTAAATATACATCTACTCCTACTTTTCTCAATGTGGCAATAACGCGTTCTCAAGCAGAAACAGTATTCCTGAACTCCGCGTTAAATCGAGAGACGAAATGGTAAATTTGAATACCGATACACAAAATAATTAATCCTGTTTTCACGGCGCCAGTTATCGCGCGCTCTTACGAGTGCAAGTTCGGGAGACGACATAACGAAAAGAGCGACACGATGAGTTATCGGAACGTTAAGGCTTCGGTGAGTCTCGAAGGTCGTGAATCGTGACTAAAGAAAGAGTCCGGGATAAGAAATCTTAAAGCTTAACGAGACATCGGACAAAGATAAAAGATCGGCCGACTCACGGACACCCGCACGCGTCACGTGTAAGCGCGAGGAACGCTTATAGCGCTTTTCAGCGAGGGAACATTTCGGCAAGGGTTGTCCATCGGTTCGGTGGAAAATAAACAGAAATAGGACAGGTTCCAAGACTGGATCTAAATATAGGATACACCCAGTGTGTCTGTATACTACGGGTGGGGCATTCTCGTAATCCTCGTGTTTGTTGCCCTTCGTCTTTCTCTTCGCTCGTCCGCTCGTCCGCTCGACCGCTCGTCGCGGAGGCAGGAACGGCTTATAAGGAGCCTGTGTCTACGTCTAATACTAAAATCGCCTATGCATCCGAGAAAATGATCAGAATTTTTCTATTAGTTGAAAGAGTCGAAAAACCAGCCGGGAACGTTTGTCTACTTTATTTCGTAAGAAACGCGATTGCGCCATTAAGAGAGACCGCATTAGCAGGACAAATTGGGAACATCGGTGTAGAGAATTCGGTAGCCAAGGTTGAAAAATATAGTGGTTCGATCATGTTCTCGAAAGGAGAAGAAGAAAAATAAAGGAAAGACCGAAAAGAACCTGGTAGCCGTTTCGGCTATCTTCCACGATTTAGATCAACGATGTCGGGCCGTTTGAAAGATGCGAGAGAGGCGGGTATCGAATTACAGGCTCAATTCATCTGTAAACTTCCACGTGATCGAACGTGTCGCATGTTTTATCGTGCCGACCGATATTTGTGCGCTCGAGCGTACAAACACCAAAAACGTTCCGCCGTCGATGTATGTTGTATCTTCTCGACCCGACACCCCTTAATTCTACATCGCAAAGATTCCGACACGACGCGACGCGACGTTCCTTTTCTTGGTTACGACGAAATCAGGCCGATTCTCTTCTTTTCCGTCATTTGGCCAACGTCTGTCGGTTTCTATCGATCAAAGTATATTCCGGGAATACGCGTTCGCAGCTCTTTGTACGCATTCTGACCGCGTAACAACTTCGCCGACGAGGAAACAAAAATGTTCCTGCATTTCGTCCTTTCTTTTTTCTAGAAACTTCGTAATCGCGCAATAAAAAGAGAAACATCGGTATCGCGCCGAAGCTTCTCCCCCGTGCGCTTTAACGCCCTATGCGACACTTTCTTTTTCGAGCCGAACTTTAACGTATCAATTTTCCAGAGCGCGTATCGATGCCGCGAGACCGTTTTATTCCGATAAAATCGAAGAATTGAAATTTCGGTACGTGTCGCCTGTACAAAGCGGATACCACCGATCCAAATAATGTCATCTCAAGGTCGCCGAATTTTTCTCTTCTACGATCAAAGAATCTTCAACGATCACATCGACCGTTTTAATCGAAGTCGCCAAAGATCTGTACGACTCGCCGCTTTTGCGGGATATACACGATTCTAGAATTTATAAAATGGTGTAATAATAAATTTCGAGGTTATCTCGCGATTCGAAAGAAACGTTTCTGTTATCGACGTCGCTTTCAACGAACAACGTTGGCGCGGCGAAAGCCAGAAGAAGCTCGCGTGGGAGCGAAACGTGACCAATTTGATAAGAGATCGCGGTAATTGTATTCTTACACCATTGCCCGTAGACCTCACAGGGAGCCATCAGAGAGTATCGTGACCGTCAACGGGCCAATTATTGTTTGTAACGAGTCGGTCACCTTTTTTCTCCTATCTTGTACCACGGAAAAGTAGAAAGAATCTCGCCGATTACCGGTGAACGTAACGCGAATAATCGCGAAGGGGCGTTGTCCCGCGAAACTTTTAAACGTACCCCCGATGTCGTATCTCGTTCGAGGAATTAATCATTATCGTAACGAGAAGTATTTCTGTAATCGTCGATGAGGGTAGACTGTAACGGTTACCGAAATTTCGATCTACGAACTTTGCAACGAACGAACGTACGAGAAGCAAATATTTCATTTCGATGCGGCGTTACGAATAACTTGTAGAGTAAGTACGTAAAACGATGACGGCATTCGACGCGATAAAAAGCAAAGGGAAAGAGAGAACACTCACCTTGCTCGATCGCTGAAGAAATCGACCTTGCTCTTCTTCTTCATGATAGCCTGTGGTTGATGAAGAGGGCTGACGCTGGGTTCGCTGGTTGCTGGTGGTGAACTCGATCCGGTGCTGGAAGACAGAGAACCAGCCCTTCCACGACCGGATTCGATCAACTGTGCCTCGGTGGTACCGCGACCGTTCGTCGAGACGTGATTGCCGTGACTCGGTGGACCGGCCGAAACGGACAACGTGGGTCTAGTATTTTGCCGATTACGACGTTTCTTTTTCTTCGCTTCGTTCTCGTCCGGTCGATTGCCGGAAGCGTTCCCGGTACCTGGCGGCATCCAATCGAGATCTTTCTTGAGGTGTCCACGACCGCAGCGACAGCCGCACGCTTTGAACGCGAGATCGTAACCTTTTTTCGTCCAAAGATTCTGATGGCGCTGCCTCTCTGACCAACTACGAGCACGGCCGCAGCTTTTCAGGTACGTCAGCACAGTTTGTTCCCATGCGTCGAAACACTCGCGATGCATGAACTGGCCAACGGGACAACTCTCGTTGTTGCAAGTTACCTTGACCGTGTCGTGCAACGCGTTCAAGCGAATTAAAGCGTCGCCGCGCAGACACTCGCCGGTCGGCGTGCAGCAACGGGTCGTCTGATTCTGCGTCAGCAGGTTCTCCATCGCGTCGTTGATGCCTCCGCCGTTCTCCATCAATGCACCACCGTGGCCGTTCGCGTGACGCCGCGGTGCCATCACACTTCTTCCTCCTCGCGATCGGTATCGAACCGCCTTGACGTTTCGTCCGATCCCTTCCAACGTGTCCGAGAGAATCTCGTGTCTTCTCTCCTCCGGTAAGCGGCAACGATCGCTCGACAAAAATCGCACGATTGGCCGACGCTGGATCCAAACGAACCGACCGATCGGAACGCGGGCTTTGGTCGCGCGAAACGATTCCTCGACGATGATATCTCCTCTTCTATTCTTTCATCTTCACGCAGTTCCCACGGCTCGCCTGTGTCGTCTCACGCGCACCCATTCAACGATCGATTCGGTCTGGCGAATTGTCGCGTAATAAATTAGTAGAAAACGACACGACGGTGTGCCGTGCACGAACTCGGGCAAACAAGGCGGGCACCGAGGTGCAAAAGCGCGCGCGGCTGACCGGACGATCGAATCGAGAAAAGCTGTCGCGCGTTCGGCGAAATCAAGGTCGTCGTCACTTGACGCGCACGACACGATTCTTCGATATCGTCCCGAACGACGATCGCGCGATTCGATCTCGGACGAATGGTTGGCCTGTAAACGCGTGGCGCCCCGGTGGTACCAAAGTCAAGGTCAACCGCGGTTCCTCGACGACGCCTAGACGTCTCGACGCGCGGTACTTTCGATCAAGTCGAACGAGACGGAACGATGATTCCCGTAGCGGCGCGGCTAGTCAAATGTGTCGGGTGCTCCTCTCGAATGTCAGGGTCACCGGCGCGAAGCGCGCGCACCGTGGAACGCAATTTTCGATCCAAGTCCCGGCGGTGTCACCACGCGTTTTCCGTACGCCCGAGCGCGATCACTCGACGAAGGCGAGAGCAGGTCGACGAGGATTCGAGCATACGTAACACTGCAACGACACACCGAGGCACAAAGGTTCCTTTTCTTTTCCTCCCTCTTCTTTTTTTTTATTTTTTTTTTTTTTTTTTTAATTTGATCGTTTCCCTCTCGTGCACACACGGAGAGCCGACGACGAAAAACACTTGCTCGCACGTAGGGTGCACCAGTCACTGAGCGCCGGCGACGACAGCGTGCCGGCTGCC